GGCGCGGTGACTGCGGTTATTGCTGACGTCCTTCCACACTCCCGGAGCTCATCCCGACCACCAGAAGGGGGGAAAACTGAGACCCCCCCCAAACCACCTGGGGCTGGGATCCCCGGGGAATCCCCAGGGAATCCCCAGGGAGTCCCCAGGGAATCCTCAGGGAATCCTGCCCCCCCTGCAATCAGCCCTCAGGAGCTCACTGAGCTCTGGCGGATCTGTGGGATGCACAGGTGGTTTTTCTCTTCCCATTCCTGTGGGATTGAAGCCGTATTTCCATGCAGGAAGTGCTGCCCTGCACAGACACCATGTCAGGATTGGCTTGTTCACCCTTGAACCTACTGAAGGCAGCACCCAGACCCCGGGAATCTGCTGGGAATCCGCCGGGAACCACACAGGGAATTCCAGGTCCCCTCCAAGAGCAGCATTTAGTGTTCATCTCATCCCTTGATATTCAGCTTCATCCAGGGGGAACATCCCTGTTCTTGCGGAGCACCAGCCTCTTCCTGGGAGCTGGAGGAGGGCAATCCCCTTCCTGAAGACGGAGGGATCATCCAGGCTCCCTCCAAGGCTGGGTTTGTTCCCGGGGTCTGGAATTCTGGGAGGCAAACGCAGCTCGTACCGTCCCTGCGGGGTCGGACCCTGCGGACATCCCGCTCTCCGCTCCAGGATACTCCTCCTCACCACACATCCCAAATTCTTCACTGCCTGGACCTCTGTGGCCAGGCAGCAGGAATTTTCACAGGATCACTCCACATTCCCTTCTGCCCAAGAGCCCAACCAAGGGGTGTTCTAAGCTTTTCCTCAAAGCAGCAGGAAAAGGGAGCCGAGCTTGCACAGGAGTGAGACGTGGACCAGGTCCGGCTCCGAGGTATCCGGGGAGATCCAAGAGTCCACTTCCTCAGAAGGAGAAGCAAGAGCTTGTGAACCCCGAGCCACTCAACTCATGGAAATCCATTGGAATTCCTTTGGGAACACTGAACTACCTCTGTGCATTAACACAAACAGGTCAAACCCTTCTCACGCACTCGGCCGATCCCAGACAGAGAAAACAAACAGAAAATCAAACAGAAGAACCCAAAATCCTCGGAAACAGAACTCGCTCTGGAAGTGATGAGGACAACATGCGTGGCTGGGGACACTTCCCATCTTTTTTTTTTCCTTAAATGCCGGGGTTTCGACTACAACAAACGTTATTGCTGGCGCCAGCCCCGACCCGAGCGGCACACGCAGCTCCCGGTGCCCGAGTCCGGCACCCCCCTCCTCATCCCGCTGGATCCTCGGGACAGCCCTGCCGGCATCGCCGCTCACAGTGGGTGCAGAGGGGAGGTCACAGTGCGTGGGGCTGAAGGTCACAGTGGGCAGAGCCAAGGGGTCACAGTGCAAATCATGCCGGGAGTCCCCCTTGCCCAGGTCCGTGTGTCCGTGCCGGGGGCCCGGCGTTCCGGAACGGCGGCGCATCCGCCTTTATCTGCGCTGCTTGAAGCCCTGCGAGCCATCGGGGCCCAGCGGCTGCCGGATCACATTGTTGGGCTGTCGGGTGTCCTCCGGCTGCGAGATCCGGGTGGGCCTGCAGGGAGAGAGGGGTCAGAGCGGCCGGGAATGCGGGCTGGAATTCCGTGTGCCCTCGGCAAAGCCGCAGGCGCCCGCTGAGGGGGGAACACACCCACGATGGAATACCAGGACGTGCTTCCCAGCACAGGGAGGACCTGGAGCTGCTGGAGCCACTCCAGAGGAGCCACCAAGGGGATCAGAGGGATGGAGCAGCTCTGAGATGGGGAAAGGATGAAAGGATTGGTCATTCTGGGGAAGCTCCAGGAGCTCAGAGCCCCTTCCAGAGCCTAAAGGGGCTCTGAGAGAGCTGGACAGGGACTTTGGACAAGGGCCTAGAGGGGCAGGACAAGGGAATGCCTTCCCACTGCAAGAGGGCAGGGACAGATGGGATATTGGGAATTCCTCCCTGTGAGGGTGGGCAGGCCCTGGCACAGGGTGCCCAGAGAAGCTGTGGCTGCCCCTGGATCCCTGGAAGTGTCCAAGGCCAGGTTGGACGGGGCTTGGAGCAGCCTGGGCTGGTGGAAGGTGTCCCTGCCCAGGGCAGGGGTGGAACAAGATAATCTTTAAGGTCCTTTCCAACCCAACCCATTCCATGATTCTGTGAGGATGACTCTGGGTGCCCTCCCTGCTCTCCACACCCCCAGCCTGCTCTTCCAAGGTGCTCAGATCATCCCACGGCTGCACTGGGCATGGTCGGGGCACCTCCAGCTCTGGGAACACTCCTGGGACCCTCTGGACAAGGAGGACACGGAGGGGCTGGAGCGTGTGCAGGGAAGGGAACGGAGCTGGGAAGGGGCTGGAGCAGCAGGAGCAGCTGAGGGAGCTGGGGGGGCTCAGCCTGGAGAAAAGGAGGCTCAGGGGGGACCTTCTGGCTCTGCAATCCCTGACAGGAGGGGGGAGCTGAGGGGGGGTCGGGCTCTGCTCCCAGGGAACAGGGACAGGAGGAGAAGGAACGGCCTCCAGCTGGGCCAGGGGAGGGGCAGGTTGGACAGCAGGAGGAATTTCTCCATGGAAAGGGTGGTCAGGCCTTGGCAGGGGCTGCCCAGGAGGGGGTGGAGTCCCCACCCTTGGAATTGTTCCAAAGGCATGTGGATGTGGCACCTGGGGACAGGTGGAGACCACAGCGCTGGGTTAATGGCTGGTCTTGATGATCTGGGACAGCTTTTCCAGCCTTAATAATTCCACCATTTATGGCCTTGTCAGGCACCTCCAGTTCCCTGCACTCCCACCTAGTGGAGGCTTTGCTGGCAGAGCACTGCTCCCTCCCTGCTCCCTCCCTGCTCTCCCAGGAGCTCATCCCCGAGCTCTGCCAGGCAGGCACTGCCCCGGGGGCCGCTCTCACCTGTCTAGGATGGGTTTGTCCTGCTCCTCCTCGGGGCTGGCGCTGCCCAGGATCCGTTTCCTGGCCTCGGCGTACTCGGCCTCCCTCTGTGCCAGGGATTTCACCGGGAAGGC